GGTCGAGGTCCCCCAAGCACCCAAAAGGTCGTCATCTTTTGAGACTGGGTCCACCACAGTAGTCTCACTGAATCCATTATCTTTCTTCTTCTTGTCCTTCTTGTTGATGGTGGAAAATCCCCATGCATCATCAGTGGGCTTGCTGTCGGCCATGTCTCCATCAAGAGCGAAACCTTTGTCGCCAGAATCCAGGTCACCAAAATCGAAACCGTACGAGGTAGTCGTCTTCTTTTTCGACTTGTTACTCAAGGACCAGGGGTTAGTCTCTCCAAGCCCACTCGATTCCTCCTTCTTGTCGTTATCCCTCTTAGAAGCCTTGTCGTCGACTTTTCCCGTTCCAGTATCGAGTGATCCAAAGTCCCATGTTTTACCCCAGGCACCAAAGCTTCCCGCGTCCTTCTTGCTGTCAGTACCACCGAAACTAAATTCTAGCTTCGGGGCGCTATCATCTAGACTGATGTCTTGGAAAGCCGCGCCTGGAGGATCTGGAGCAGAAGGAAGAGGCTCGTCGATCCCCTAGCAAAGTCAGCATCATTAGGGTTAAAGTCGGTGGATGAAAGTACCTTTTTGTTCTTCTTCTTTTTATCCTTTTTGGTGGTGAAACCTGTAGTCCAGTCATCCTCCACTGCAGCGTTATTCGCCTCGTCAGCCCAGCTTAACGGGTTTGCAGCCTCTTCTTCCTCTTTCTTCTTCTGCTCCTCCTCCTCTTCCTGCCTTTTCTTTTCTTCCTCCTCTTGCTTCTTCTTGTTCTTCTTCTTGTTCTTCTTGCTGCCACCAAAGTCCCACTCTTCCTCGTCACCGCCTCCCCCATTGTTGTTGTCATCGCCGCCGCCATCGCCACCAGCGCTTCCGCCTTGATCACCGCCTCCAGCCCCAGCATCTTCACCATTGCCAGCAGCGTTCCCGTTTCCTTCGTTGTCTGACTCGAGCCATTTTGCCGGAGCAGCTTTCCCGGCTTTCTTCTTCTTGGCTCTAGACTGTACCCCGTACAAGCCACCAAAATCTATGCGAGCATCCATTGTCGCAATCCGGGCCGTCGGCTTTTTATCAGGAGACAAGGATCGAGGGTGATCCGGTGAGGTGAATACTTGTGCGTATGCTGCTGGTATTTGCCAGTCTTGCAATGGCAGCGAGTCGTCGCTGGACAGGGAGGAGCAGCTTCCATAAGGCTGAGGACGGTCTGCTAATTCCTGCAATAAGGCTGCGACCAGCGCAGCTGCTCTTAGGTAGACATTGTAGTTTGGAGTGGAATACTGTCGTCCGTGTCAGACAAGATCCCAGTGCGAGAGAAAGAGGGGAGGGGAGGAGGCGGGATCGCAAGCTTAGAAAGAAGAAGTAGGGGCTTGCACTTGACAGATGTGCGTTAGAATGGAGTAGTGTTCTGCATACCCGTTGTCCTGGCTTGTAGTTCTCAAGCATGGCGGTGTGCATGCGATGGCGCCAATCGGCAATGCAAGGTGTTGGAGAAATACACCCAACCTCCGCCATGTCGTAAAAGGATAGTGTTGCAGGGTCAGCCTTTGCCATCTTCCACCATCTCGGGGTCCTTTGTTGGGAAAACGCGTTTTCTCTGCCGGCGGGCGACGCGGCGACCAGAGCCGCCATGCTGTAGCTGTTGCTGTAGCTGGGCAAGACGTTTTGACCGATTAAATTGGGAGAGCATTTGATGCGGCAGCGGCGACGCGAAGCAGATGGATAGAAAAGCAGACAAAAAGAGAGTGAGGCTACGTCTACACAGCCTCTGGTATCGAGCGATAGAAGAACTGTGAGCAGTGGTTGAGCTGGGAAATGCAGCGTCAGGAGGTCACAAGGTGTTTGACTTGCTCATTGGTGTGCAAAACCAAACCCAGGTGCCAATGGGGCAACAGTGAAGACGAGCGGGCAAATGACAGCGGGTGTGCCACAGCGCCCCCTTGCAGTCACGCTCCTCTGGCTGCGCAGATCCCAGCAACTCAGCGACTCGCCTGGCCAGAAACAGTCAAGGGGGGAAAGCCAATACCACACCCAGGCCTAATATCTGCTAGTTATCACCCTCCCTATCGATACACAAACTGGGGGGAAAGGAAGAAAAGGAGAAATGAGGTCACTCATATACCCTCATCCAGCCGGCCAGAAATCCCACTCCTCGTTGGAAATTTTCATCAATGCCCAAACGACTCCATTCAATGCATCAATTGCATTTTGGAGAATCTGGCGGTGTTGACCTGCAGAGCCAACAACGAATGACGCGCCTGACAAGTCTCGGTGGTTATGCAGGCAAGCAATCGATGTGGCAACGAATCGCTCACCGCTACAATTACATACGAACCACCAGACAAATAGGAGAGGAGTAGATGGCAAGCCAGTTGGTGATGGGTTGGAATGCGCGAGACCAGCAAAATTAGCAGCATTCCAGCAAGACCGGGCTGTGGATGGTGGGTGGATGGGCTGTGGACCAAACGCTGCACACCACCTTAGGAGTTGTCTAGGAGTTGTCTGGCGTGGGAGATTCCCTGACACCCTGATAACTGGGATGCGTGCTGGACAGTTGCAATTGGCCCCTATTGAGGTGAAAAGACAATCGACCCACACAAACGTGCCCCCGATGTGATCCGAGCCTGCCAACACTCATCAGGGGGGTGACTGAGTTGAGGTCGTACAGTTATCGTAGGAACAAGCGCAGGGTAGAAGACCCTTTGGCACGAATACTCTCTTGGTCTAGGCAATTGTGACTTGTTCGATGCTTGCAGAGCCGCAAACCGGTGTAGCACTCGGGTTTCTGGGTGACGGGCGCAGGTAGAATACGAGGACAACGAGACGCGATGCAGGGCAAAGTGCAGAGCCAACGCAGTTCATCGGCAGGGACAGGGACGCCCCGTGTTCGCTGCTGCAGCCACTCGGCGATATTTCACAGGTGGAAAGAGAGCTGCCACCATCCCCGTTTTAGGCGGGCGCACCCACTGATGCATTGCCAGTCGCGACAAAACGCGCAGGGAGCTGCAGAATCCAGAGGCCGCCTCGCCACTCAAGAGGCCAGACAGTTTGTATCATTATTATTGGCAGGAGGGGCCGACCAGCTCCTTCCTTCCTTCAATAGACAAAACAAAGCCAAGATTCTCGGTCAGATTGTCTCTTAGATGCGCAGCCGGGCGCATTTGCGCGTTGATGGACCATCAACATGATGCCGTCATGCGGGCAGCTGGTCAGACTGGCCATGGTGGCCATGGTGGCCACTTTGCTGGACTTACTCATCTTCATCAGAACTGTAGGCGACCAGACTAAGTCCAACAGCTGGTTGTGGACGCGTAGCCGCCTTAGAAGGCTCAACCTCGTCGTCGATGTCTAGTTTATTGACTGGTGAAGCGCCCTCTGCGGCTGCATCTTGTTGATCTTCATCAGCGTCAGCTGGAGTGGCAGTATCAGCAGTAGTTGACACCTTCCTCAGCTTGGAATCAACCTCAGACTCATTGTCCTTTTCTCGACGTCTTTTCTTCTTTTTGACGGCCCACGATTCTTTGTCTGCAGGGTCTCCTGGTGTCCCGGCTTCGTTACCCCCCATTAGCGCTTGTTCGGCGGCGGCACGTTGTTTGCGAAAGACCTCGAGTTGTTCGGCCGTCTCTTGCTTGACGGCGTTCTCCTTTGCTCGACTTGATTCGAGCACAGAGTCGAGAAACTCCACTTCATCATCATCAAGGGCACGGAACTGATTTTTGAGCCGAATGGACTCCTCAAAAGCCTCCTGTTTAGCAGCTGAGGAGCACCAAAGTCACAACCGTGTCAGCATTGATCGGTTGCTGCTCCAGAAAAACCCAGATTCATATTCCTTACCCTTGTTTGACTGCAGTACCTCATAAAGACTCTTGCCCCCTTCTTGCGTTCCCCCGTCGACCTTCTTGGGCCTCCTCGATGACTCGACTTGTTGCTGCGCTTTCACCCAAGCATCGTCAGGTGCGTCGGCATCGGTCCCAGCTGGTACAAATCGGGACATTGTCACGGATATATATCACGACGCCCGTGGTAAGCTGCCGGTGCTGATCAGGATAAATTCTTCATCGGGGGCTAATTCGTCGAGGCTAAGGGCGCGTGTCTGGCCGTGGGTCAAGGCCGAGTGAGATTTATGCAGGCTTCCTCCGTCATGAATAAGGCCAAAATGGACAATAATAATGGCAAAAGCGTCCGGGTAGCGGTTATTTACTAGACTCACTGGGTTGACTTTGCACGACACGTTAGAGCCCAAGTTTTGTGGAGGAGGAAAGCCACCTGCCACCACCCCACGAGTTTCCTCTGCACACTCGCCTCTCCTTCCCTTCACTCTCCCTCGTCTGGGCATGCGGCCCGGACATGGCCCTCGATCTCAATCTTCACCAAGATCTGGACCCTTTTCTCCTCCTCGTTTACTCTTCACAACGCGGTGCCTGCCATGGCTGCATGGCTACATAACGTCGCTCCAAGTTCATTCCGAGCCTCGCCCCTCGTAGTGGGGATCCCTGCTCCGTGCCAGGATGAGATACGAGTATGCTACGAGACTTCCGGGCGCATGTGGACATGAATTATCCTCTTGATATTTATCCCCATCCTTTGACCCAGTCGATCATTTCAGCCTAAATGACGGCAAACAAATTTGATCTAGAATATTCCCAGCCCTCCGTTTCAACTGTGTATGGAGGTCAGGCTCCATAACCCGCCAATAACGGTTCGGGTCAACAGGTGCGACGATTGAGCCGTGCCCCTCGTGGTTCTGATTATTGCGTAGCTGTTGTTGCATCGCAAAGGTCGATTGCCCCACCTCCAAATCTTTCAATGCGAAGATTGCCCACCGGAATATAGCTGCAACTATATATCCATCCCAATGATCCGCAAAGGCAATTTTCGGGTTTCTGCGTCCGGGTCGCATGTCATTGTTTCGCCTCTCTGTTTCTTCCTTTAAAGGGTCGAGGATTCCTCCTTTTGTCGCAAGTTTCCAGTTTGCGTCAAATCACTTCTTAACCCCTACGCTTTTGAATCTTCGATTACTCCGCACGATGACGACTTCACAATCAGGAAAGGGCACAAAGTGAGAAAACTCCCAATCGACACTTGCCGATCCCGATCCCAGAGTGGCGGCTGCTAACACCTGCCTGTCAGGACCGTGTTCACGTTGAACACTGGTGCGAAGATGCCCGGCGTTGGACTCGGTACCTGGCAATCCAAACCCAATGAAGTTCGCGAGGCCGTCAAAAACGCTCTGCAAATTGGCTACCGCCACATCGACACGTAAGAAGCCTTCTTCTGCCTGACCGTAGGCAGCGTCGTATCCTAACTCGTTTCAGCGCTCTTGCATACGGTAACGAAGCAGAAGTCGGTCAGGGGATCATCGACTCCGGCGTTCCCCGCGAAGAGATCTGGATCACGACCAAGCTCGACAATCCCTGGCACAAGCGTGTCAACGAAGGTATCGAGTCCTCTTTGAGAGATCTGAAGACGGACTATGTCGATCTCTACCTCATGCACTGGCCCAGCTCCACTGTGCCGGAGGATTTGAAGAAACACTATGATGACTGGAACTTCATTGACACTTGGTGGGCGATTTTAGAGACTTTGTTTAAACGCAGTCCATGCTAATCTCCGAACAGGCGCGAGATGCAGAAACTCGTTGGCACTGGCAAAGTTCGAAATATCGGAGTGTCCAACTTTGTCATCTCCAACCTCGAGAAGCTTCTGAATGCGCCCTCGACGAAGATTGTGCCTGCTGTCAATCAGATTGAACTTCACCCTAACATGCCTTCACCAAAGACTCTGGCGTACTGCAAAGAGAAGGGAATTCACGTCACCGCATACTCGTGCTTGGGCTCGACGGACTCACCTCTAGCCCACGACCAGACTCTCCAAAAAATTGCGGATGCACATGGCAAAACTCCTCAGCAGGTGCTGTTGATGTGGGGGCTTCAGGTGCGTAGAGTTCACGAGACACATGTCCTCGATGGTCTCTCACAACAACTCCAAAATATGCTGTTTCAATGTACTGACACTTTTCTTCTAAAACAGAGAGGCACCAGCGTCATCCCGAAATCTGTTACCAAGTCGCGCATTGAGGCAAACTTCCAACTGGACGGTTGGGAATTGACACAAGAGGAGATGGACACTTTGAGCAACATCAAGACTCGCTTCAAGGTATGCGGCGATTCGTGGTTGCCCATCAAGGTCTTCTTCAACGAGGAGGGCGATGGCGGCGATGTTCCTTCCCATTAGTTGTGATATTCCTCGAAACTCTGGAGAAGCAACGATCGACCGAGCCTGGAGGTCTGCGAAAGAAACCTGCTGCGGCGTTGGGAAAGCAACGCGCGGTGATTCGAGCACAGGAAATTGGGTTGAAAGAGAGAGAAACGTTGCACAATATATCATGGAGCATTAGATTCAGGTATAGACACGGAGAGACCTCGTCTTTGCCGTGGTAAGAGATTCTTTGCGCAACCAAGCTCACACCCCTCTCGAGGGGTGAATTCTTTTTGGCGTTAAGAGGAGAAAGGTCTACATCCTCGCGGGGCAGTGTTTATTAAAGAATCTCTTTTGACGTAACCGCATTTCCAGGAATCTGATGCCACAGCGTTTCTGGGGCTCGGCATTATATATTTTGGGCTGCGATTCGTCCGCATTACGGACGTAACTATACGTAGGGTGGCACCCGGTGGCAGCACCAGTAGGAGATGAATAACTGAGCGACGCGGGGAATCCGCAACTAAACCGATTGACGCTTTTGGGAATGAACCCGAGAATCGTCTTATGTAATCATATCACTAAGCTGCAAGGAGTAATCTCACTGTCCGATGACTCCTTGCTTCGACCGCTCGTATTGCAGTCGTATCTCGTTAGACTTCAAGCCGCCGCTCCCCCGTACGCTATGCGAAACAGTTCTGCCTGGAGAGTCTGGCTGGTACCAAGCCCTCGACCTTGAGTGAGCGACGACGTCAAATCCCTCTGGTGTTTCGCTTTGCGTGATTGGGATCTTTGAGCTGAACACTACATCGCATGCTATTTGCAGTCAGACAAACTGGAAATTTCTCTCCCCTCAAACTTGCCACTATCCGCTGGACCTCCCTCACCAGCAGTCTACTTCTCTCCACCGCTGTTTCCCGCTCCCACTGTCTGAACAACCTGTCCCAAACTCCATTCCGCCGTACCTCTATTTCCTTCCTCCACATCTTCATGAATGTGTTGGCCCTCCCTCGCGGGGTAAATTCTAATTGATCGCCGCCGAAGGAGATTGCGCTGCTTCTTGGATTCAAAGCACAACTTATTTGGGAGCTGGGAATGACGTCGGGAAATATTGAAGAGCCGGATATGGGTGGAACAAATGGGGAGAGCGAACAGTCGACAGGGGCGGCGAATGATGCCATCCCTCGACCAAAGAGGATTGCCTGCATATTGTGCCGCAAAAGGAAACTGAAATGTGACTCGAACAAACCGAGCTGCGGGACATGTTCGCGCTTAAATCACCACTGTGAATACTCTGAAGAACGGAAAAAGAGCGGTCCCAAGAGAGGATATGTCAAACTTCTGGAAGCACGACTCAAGCAAGTTGAAAACTTGCTGGAAACAAGAGATGCGACGAATGAAGCCACTACCCACATGACCCAGCCCACACCAGCAGCGGACTCATTTGCCACTATGCCTCCTCTAGATATCCGCGATGGTCTCGATACTTCGATGTCTGGAATGATGGCAGACAACAGGTTTACTGATCCGACTCTGACCGGGATGCCGGATTTCACCATGAACTCCAACGACGATTTCTCTTGGGAGATGATAGGTCTTGGTCTTGAAGAAGCTTTACCCGCACGAGAGGTGATAGATGAGATGTATGGCTGATCTCGAGTCCAGCCTCTAGGTCTTTTGCGGATGCTGACTGCTCTAGGAATGAGATATATTTCGACAAAATCCATCCGTCCTTGCCCATGATCCACAAAGGCCGTTTTCTGGCTTCAATGGACCTCGCGCCTCATATGCGCCCCGCGGTGTGCCTAAGATATGCTATGTGGACCCATGCTTGTGCCATCACCTCCAAATATTCAGCTTACACCGAACACTTTTACGCCAGGGCTCGGAAGTACGCAGAAATGGACGAGATGAGAGGACACGGTGAGGGAATGATCACAATCGCTCATTCTCAGTGCTGGACGTTGCTTGCCTGTTACGAGTTTCGGGTAATGTACTTCCCGAGGGCGTGGATGAGCATCGGCAGAGCTGCACGACTGGCGCAAATGATGGGTCTACATCGACAGGATCGCGTTGGTCTTGACGTGAAACAAACATTGCCACCTCCTCGAGACTGGACCGATCGCGAAGAACGGCGGCGCACCTTCTGGATGGCGTACTGTCAGGACAGATACGCCAGCATCGGTACTGGCTGGCCAATGGTCATTGACGAGAGAGACGTATGTTTCCCGAACATGTGACCTGTCAGGCAGCTAATGGAATTCCCCTGCAGATTCTCACAAATCTACCGGCTAGCGAGGAAGCCTTTAATAAATGTCAACCAGAGCCTACACTGCAATTATCCGATATCCTGAATGGTGATGGGGCGTCTTCGCTGTCTTCATTTGGCGGTGTCATTCTTTTGTCAACAATATTCGGGAGAAACCTTACCCATCTCCATCGTCCGTCGGAACAAGACAATGACCATGATTTGAACGGTGGATTCTGGAAGCGCCATCGGTCTTTGGACAATATTCTTCTCAACACAGCTTTGTCACTCCCTCCACCTCTCCGCCTCCCAGCAGGCCTCAATGATCCGAACACCGTCTTTCTCAACATGAATATCCATACAGCTACTATATGTTTGCACCAAGCAGCCATATTCAAAGCTGATAAAAATCGATTGCCAGCCCAGATCAGTGCCGAATCCAAACGTCGATGTATCGTCGCAGCGGACCAAATCACGAACGTCATGAAAATGATCAGTCACATGGACATGTCGATGGTTCGTTAGAGCGCTCGTCAGCGGTGTCTAAATACTAATTTGGTTCCAGATGAATCCTTTCCTCGCGTTTTGTCTATATGTGGCTGCTCGAGTGTTTGTGCAATATCTCAAGTCGAGACGAGAAGATGCTGCAGTCAAATCCTCCCTGCACTTTCTACTTGCCGCGATGCAAGTCCTGAAAACCAAGAATCCTCTCACTGAGTCGTTCTTAGTGCAGCTCGATGTTGACCTCGAAGGTAGTGGCTTGGATATCCCAACCAGCTATTCGCGATGGAAATTCGGGCATCGCCCACCGGTCAGTCTGCCCATGGTTTTTCTACAATGCGGCAAAAACGCTGACTTGAATATAGGGCGAAAGTCCTGCTAACACGGATGCTTTGAAATGTTCTCCCCTCTTCGAAATTCGAGAGACTCAAGGACGAGAAACAGTTGGAGCAGCCCAAGGGGCCAACACCCAGGGCATACAACCCCCTTGGCCCGGGGATGCCAATGCTGCCTCCGCGACCAGCAGCTACCCAAGCTTATATGCGACGGAAGGGTTGGGCACCAACTCACAGATGGGCCAGACAATCCCCCCAGCAGGCGATGGATTGGAGAATAGTTATGGCTTTCCAATCCAGTCGGTGGGAACAGACACTTCGCCAGACACTTCGCACCAGGATGGGAATGGCTCACGGCCGCATTCTAATCACCCAACGCCTTCAACGTTGTCAAACCCGAACTCATCGCATACGTCGTACACTTCGCCGCCGAATTTATCCAGCAGCGGAAACACTACGAGCAGTGGGCAAGGGCAACCTTCGCCAGGCTATGTGTTTCCAGGTGGCGCGCAGTCTTCGTGGACCATGAACATATCAACTCAGTCTGGGCAGGATGCATCACCACAGCAAAGCAGTATGAACTTTGGCTCTACCGGGATGACCCCTGGCCCTACAGGACTGACTCCTATGGCCGACCCGCTCTGGGCAACGGAAGGAATGCCAGATGGGAATGAATGGATGTTTGCATGGGCCGGTTCGACGCCGCAGCCACAGTGAGCTTGAATTTATGAGTATTGATGTGCGCCCACAGGGTGCGATGTACGATCCATGGCTGCCAGTTATAAAAATGTGATACCCAAGAGCCATACGCGAAATCCCAACTCTTATCTACCAAGGGATGTGGCGGAGTGAACCAAGATATAGATAAAGCTTGAAGTTTGCAAGGGCGTACAGCTGCCGTTCAGCTATCACTTTTGGTAATGTTACGAACCGACTATGATAATACTCTACGCGCTAGCTTTAGAAGCTGAAGAGGGTTGTAGCAGGTTGTTGAAGACATCAGCGACACCAGCGAGGTCTATTATCAAAAGCCCTCGTCCATTTTAGGAAAAGGGAAGCGTCTTAAACGAAACCCCACAAAAACTCTCTCCAACTGCGCTGGCGAACAGAGAGACCCGTGGTCGAGTCACGATTTTGTTTACAACCAACACCACCTTTCTCTATTTTCATTTTCTTTTCTATAGTTCCACTTGTGCTCTTGGGGTGGTATGGCGCCCGTGAGCCAGCGCAAGCACCTGGGACGCGACAAATTCGGGGCTCAGTTCAGCCTCCTCAAGACGCAGCAGTACACCGACCCGGCCACTCGGACAGCCATACCGACCATGTATGTACCCGCCTTTGTCTGCATGAAGAGAAAAACATGCATTCGACACACCCATCATCGTCATCCTGTCTCCCACGATGAAAACCCGAGTCCCCTCCTATTCCCCTCTCTCTCCGTCCCCCCCCGGGGGGGGGGGGGGGGGGGGGGGCGCGTATGTATGTGTCTGCGTGCAATATATCGGCTGATGTTTCTATTGTCAAAGCCACCGCACCATCTCATGGAACGCCTCTGGCGGGCTGATCGCCACCGGGGCCAACGACAAGACGGTGCGGATCTGGAACCCCGAGCGCACCAGCCCGCGCAGCCAGATCGAGCTGCGAGGCCACGGCCACGCCGTCGAAAAGGTTCTGTTCAACCCCGTCCGCGAATTCGAGCTGGCCAGCTGCTCCTCGGACGGCACCGTGCGGTTCTGGGACACCCGGTCCAAAAGCTGCGTCAGTAAACTCGACGTCGGCGGCGAGCCTTTTACCTTGAGCTGGAGCGCTGATGGGAGCGTGCTTCTTGCGGGGACCAAGGTGCGTGGAAACAGAAAAGAAAAAATACCCTCAGAAAAAGAAAAGGAACCCGAAAAAAAAAAAAGAATTGTAGCGAGGAGGGAGCTGAAACCCCATCTCTTTGCCGTTTTTTCTTCGGCCACAGGGCGACGTCCTCATTCCCATCTCGACAGTGATCCCGTCCTCCCCACAGATCCTCTCGCGCCTCAAGCAGAACCAACAAACGAACCAGACGACCTTTTCGAACGCGTACCCACCCTCGGACCTGCTGATCACACAGGGCGACGGATCGGTCAAGATCCTCGACTACCCGTCCTTTGCGGTGCTGCACACCATCTCGGCACACACGTCGTCGTGCACGGCCATCGCCTACTGTCCGACGGGGAAGTACGTCGCGGTTGGGGGCTCGGACGCCATGATCTCGCTGTGGGACACGACCGAGTGGGTGTGCCGACGGACCGTGTCCAACGTCAGCTCGGGCGCCATCAAGGGCCTCAGCTGGTCGTGGGACGGCCGGTACCTGGTCGGCGCGAGCGAGGAGATGGGCTCCGGCGGCGGCGAGGGCCTCAGCTCCGGCTTCGACATCTACCACGCCGAGACTGGCGACGTCGTCCACACCATCGCCACGGGCGCCAGCGGCATCCCCGCCGTCGAGTGGCACCCGAACCGCTATTGGTTGGCGTACACCCAGATCGAGGACTCCCGGCAGGGGAAGTCGAGTTTGAAGATTGTCGGAGCCGCTGGAGGCCCGTCGATTTGAGACACCTCTTCCACACCTTTGTCGGTGTTGTCCAGATCGAGAACCCGGCACACACACAACCTGCGTGCATGTGTACGGGATACGGGGATTATTCACATCCCGTCTAATCCCAACTTGCTCCAAACGGAGAGGACTGCTGCAGTGTGAAATAAATCACCACCCTGGCCGCCTGCACGAACAGACCCCCTACTTGTCTCTCGATATCCAGAGATTTCTCCCATCCGAACCGGCGACTCAGAAAGAGAACCAAGGCCCGCACCGCTTCAAAGATTACCTGTGAGAACAGGGCACACGGTATATGGCAAAAGTGCATGCATAGTCTTCTCTCTCTCTCCGGTGGTCGGTGGGAAATACTCCTCGAAGCTGCCACAACTGTCACAATGTTCTTCTTCTGTGTGTGTTGCCAAACAGCGCTGTCTCTCTATCATCATCACGATTACATTGATTGCCCGAGAGACCTAGTCAAGTCACCATGTCAGGTGTCTGACTAGTTCGAGAGAGTATGTATGTATGTGTGTGGGGGTGTTTGGGTGTGACGTCTTGTCAATTACATTCGATCTCATGCTATATGAATCTAGCGACTTTGTTTACTGTCCCTCTCAAGATTGGATCGCCTTGGATATGAAGCACCTGAGCTTTCTAGCTCAAGATCGGTCTTGTATAGGTCAAACTTGGCACAGGGGGCAAGTATCAAGGCCCCAGCAACAGACCATCACAAGCCACAGCCAGCTTCACTGGCCTCTCTCGTGCCCTCACCTACCTAGCATTGAGGCTGCACTGCTAAGAGGGTGCTAGCTGAATACAAAACTGTTTCCAGTCGAATTTCTCTCTCAACAATCTCCGCCGGAGTTGGACAGCTAGGCAATCTACACGCGAGTTTGCTCCAATTGGTGCTTTCTCCACATGTAGTCTTGTATGATCATTTGCCTCCATGGGCTCAATGCTTTTTCGCAACATCGGAAACGTCTTTTTTGTGCATGTAGCACAGAGGTTTATCGCATCCGGTTGCATAGTCTGAATTGTGCTGCGCTTTTCGTATTCCGTCCTTGAATCTTACCCGCTACCCTCAAGTCCACGCGGCCATGTTTGCCCCGTAGTAATTGGGAGTCTGCGGCCCTTCGCTTTGAATCAGATATCCTAAGGAACATTTCTCAAATCCCACTTTGGGTTGACCCGCGTAGAATTCATCATACTCGGTGTTCAAGGCATCAACCAAGTTATTGACGTTGTCGTCAGGGTGAAGAATCTTCCATGGGTGGGTGCATTCAATCCCTTTGCAGGACTTGAGGACCATGAGGAGGGCATCGAGACGAGGGTGGACTTGGGAAAGGGATCGATTTAAAGGGCTGTCCAGGAGAGTAGCTTTGACTAATTCGTTGGGTCCCAGCAGATTGTTCATTTGCGAGGGATCACGCTGAATTTTTGTTAGTTGATCCTAAATCCACATGAACATTAACGGAGAGAAAGGTATACCGTCATGTCGTACAACTCGTGTTCGTTTGTGCACCAGACTGTATATTGCAGGTTATACTCATCGGTTATAACGCGCATCGATTTGTAGGTATTATTGGGAAACTGAGCTGAATGCTAATGTTAGCAGTGCTTTCTTCTGGAGATTCTTGTGTCGAAGCATACTGACTGAAGCTTCCGTTGACGCCCTGCAATCCAAAGGCTCCTTCAAACCCACCTGTTCCCCAATACTCGACCATTGTATGATCGAGGGTAGGAACATTGCGGCGAATTTTTTGGGCATTGTCGGTAACCGGCATGGGCAAGCCATCGAAATCGCTTCGTAGTGGGATTCCAGCCAACTGAAACAGTGTGGGAGCAATGTCTGTATGAGTTGTCACAAGATTAACAGTTTTACCTCTGGGTACACTCGGTCCGCGAATATAAAATGGAATGTTGATGTCCTCCTCGTAAGCGCAATATTTTCCTGGCTGCATGCGGTGATTGCCCATGTGATAGCCATTGTCAGAGGTATATATAACGTAGGTATTGTCAAGTAGACCGTACTTTGTCAGGCGGTCAATGATGGGCGGAATCATCTCATCGACAGCTTGCAACACTTGCAGGCGTAAGCGATAAAAGTTATCAAAATAGTCGATTTCAGTGCTGTTGAGTTGGGGTAAGTGCGTGATCCAGCTTGCTCCGCTGGGTATATCGGGATTGAAGTTAGGACCCCGTGGAATTTTGACACCGGGGAATAAATTCTCGTGACGAGGCGCCGGGATGGGTGGAAGAAAGCCCGGAATGGCCGTCGTCGGATTGAAGATGGTCTGACAATGTGGTGCGATTGGGGCGACACCAAGGAAGAAGGGCTCTCCTGCAGCTTGAGCTTGGTCAAGCATATTCAGAGCATTTTGGGCCACTTGATCTGTGTTGTATTGACCGGGAGCGCTCACGGGAGGGTCTTTGTTGGTCTGGAATGTGGCGTTGTAGTAGTTGTAAGTCCCCGGATCGATCAAGACTATAGGCAGTCAACAATGCCGTTCAAAACGAACCGATATGAAGCCTCACAAGCCGTGCCGTTCCACCCTGCAGGGAATGGATTATTCCAGTTCGAAGTAGAATGGGCATTCATTAGTTTGCCCGTGTAGTAAGTGTTGTATCCCGCCTGCTGCAGCCATACCGGAAGGTAGTCGTTGTTGAGGCCTTGTTGGACGAACTTGGGATAGCCACCTGAAACAATCAGCGCCATAACTTGAGACTGTCGATAGTTCACAGACCATAGGGAGGGACAATATCCGTGACATTAGTGTTATGAGCAAGTTTGCCAGTCAACAATGAGACTCTCGAGGGGCAGCATTGGGAGACCGTGCAGAAGTGGTTTTGGTACGTAGTCCCTTCTTTTGCAATCAGGTCCATAACATTTGGCATGTATTGCATGGAATTGAGGTGTAGATCTTGGTCATCGGTCATGATGAAGACAAAGTTAGGTTTCCGCGCAGACTCTAGCCTTGTGCTGCCCTGGGTGCCATAGCCGAAGGCCACGAAGGCTAAGGCGAGCACGAAGAGGAAGAGGCGGCAGCACATTGGTGCCATAAGACTGCGAGGCTGTAAGGATACTTGCAGTATTGATAGAAAAGACTCGAGCTAGACTCAATGCGCCATGTGAATGCTGAGGCTGACAATATAGAAAGTGATGCTGCTACTACTCAGCAAAGTCTGTCAACAGCTGGAGAAGAAGAAGAGCAACCGTCATTACCTGGAGGCAGGTGCCAGATTGTCTTATAGCAGGAGGTAGTGGCGCACCTGTCACCATGTTCAATGCACTGGCCATGCATTGCTCCATCCCTGCAGTAAGCCACCATTTTAGCATGCATGATCTGTCGGTCGGTCGAGATGTGTTGATTTAGCAGTCCACCAAATCAACTTGCTCATGGAGGAACAGGCCACATCTCTGCCACATGTCTGTTGATTGTAGCCGAATGTCATTTCCACTGTCGGAGGGAACATCGTGATAGATCTGAGAAGCTTTGGTGACCGAGTCATTGCTGTGAGTTGACTGATACGAGTGGTGTAAAGGGGATCAAGAGGCATAGTCAACACGTTGGAGAACGACGTTGAACACGAGGACTAGTGCGCAGTCTGGCGTTTGGGGGGGTTGTGAGGGACTCATCCGACTCGTAGGCCTTGTGGCTAGCCGGAGCTCGGCATGGGAACAAGCTCTTGGGCGATCTGCTAGCTTCCAGGTTTAACTAAACTGTGGGCACCAGTGGGGGAGCTTGGGGAGTTCTCGGTGAGATCACCACTTTGTTACCTAACTACAAGCACTGCTGGTCGCCTGCGACTAGGTAGCTACGGACCTACGGTAACTGGCTGACTACCGAGTGCAGTAATTAAGCTTATTCTGATTGTCAGGTACGCGTGGCATGCCAGGGATCAGCAACATTCCACTGCGTCTATCTTTGTTTCCCTCATCCCCAATATTGTGGTTCGGCCTGAAACACGCAATCAACACTTGCAATGGCAGCTGAGTTGCTCGCTCTCTGTATCACCCAGAAATATTCAGAAGCCAAAGATATCGAGGCTGCGCTCTGCAAATGAATCTCTCTGCCGCTTCCCGCTAGATGCACACTGAGAGACAACAATGTATCTGTCACCCCTAAACGGCTACAACACCTCAATATCCGTGGTAAGGACATCACTCATCTTCGCTGATTTATGGCCAGGCAGTCACCAGCTCAGCGTAAATACATAGTGAGAGCGCGTTTCACTCCCTAACCATGTCACCAAATACAGTGCACATACCTCGCGATGACACCTACGCATATCATTTTGCTGTTCCAACACCACACTATCTGAACTTGATCAGTCTCGTCTTTATCCTGAGATCAACCCTGCAACCTAATTGAATCTCCCCTTCCCTTTCATTCAGATAACCACATGGAGATGGCTCTATCCGAGGGCCAAGGCCCTGCAGAAGCGGAACGGGGACACTATCTACAGTGGAATACTGTGGCTGGTCGGAAGCCTGTCTCCAAACCACCGAAAAAGTGAACTTTCAAGCTCAGACTCCTACGTGAAGACTTCTTACCAGCCCCCAAAGCCTCTACGTATCGAGCTATCTGCTTTGAAATCCGCCCATTGCGACACCCAGACAATATCATCACCTACCACAGATTCCACTGCTCACCAGACACTGGACGACCGCAATACAAACTCTCAAGCAGGAACGAGTGTACAGCTTCGAGGTGGCTGGGATGCGCAAGACTGCTGCGCGTGCTCCATATGCTACTGTTTAATTTGCTGTGGGTACTGCGATTGAGTTTGTTGAGCGGTCAGGGTTACTTTTTGCCATCCTTACGAGTCTCTGTTACAGGGACTGGACAGATGCTAAAGATCTGGATGCTTGTATACTGCTTCATACAACAGTATCCAGCTGCAATTGTCGCAAACAAATAGAGCATATTATCCAAGTCAGCCTTGTTCACGGCAGATTATACCGGTACACTCACCGCAAGGATTCCTTTACTCCAGTTTTCTCTCTGCTGTTGATCACAGACCAGGCGAAAATCATCGACGAAGTGGAACAGAGGGTCAATGTGTCTCCAGCAGTGGTTCTCAATGGGGTGCAATGTCAAACACCAGATATCTACCGTCACTGTCATGTCCCTCCCCCTCTTATGCTTCACCATCACCCCCCACCCAAGTCTCAGGCATGAAGATCAAAGGATGCCCAGTAGTTCTTTGGTTGCCTCTTCAGGGATTACCTCAACAGGCAGGCAAGACCCGGCCACATGATTGGTTTCTACAAGGTCAACTAAGGCGGAGATCCGCACGATAACTTCCCCATATCCCATATAAGGGTCAGGCTGTTTACCCCTCGCTGGCAATGCAATACACTCTTGCTCATCTCGGCTCAAAACTCATTCAGAAACACACAGGATAGTTAAGAACAGAATAGCCATCATCAAAAATGACGTCCATGGCCAAAGTCTTTGGTGCCTACGAGGCCCGCAAGGCTCTCCTGGAAAAGTCGACCAACCCGCTCGCCCAGGGCGTAGCATGGGTCGAAGGCCAATTGTACCCGATCAACGAGGCACGTATTCCATTGATGGATCAGGGCTTCCTTCACAGCGACTTGACCTACGACGTGCCGTCCGTCTGGGATGGCCGCTTCTTCCGCCTGGACGACCACTTGTCGCGGCTGGAAAAGAGCTGCGCGAAGATGCGGTTGAAACTGCCCGTCCCACGCGACGAGGTCAAACGGATCCTGTGCGACATGGTCGCCAAGTCCGGCATTCGCGACGCTTTCGTCGAATTGATCGTCACACGTGGCCTGAAGGGCGTTCGGGGCACGCGGAACCCTGAGGACTTGACGAATAGCCTGTACCTCTTTATTACGCCGTACCTCTGGGTCATGGAGCCTGAGATGCAGCTGCACGGCTCGGGCAGCGCGATCATCGCAAGGACAGTGCGCCGGACGCCCCCAGGCTGCATGGACCCGACGGTGAAGAATCTGCAGTGGGGAGATCTGACGAGGGCCATGCTCGAGGCCAACGACCGGGGCGCCAATTACCCCTTCCTGACCGACGGCGACGGCAACATCACCGAGGGCTCGGGCTTCAACATCGTGCTGATCAAGGACCGGGTCCTGTACACGCCCGCACGGGGAGTTCTCGAGGGCGTGACGCGCAAGAGCGTGTTCGACGTGGCCAACAAGCTCGGCCTCGAGGTCCGCCTGGACTTTGTCCCCGTCGAGCTGGCCTACCACTGCGACGAGATGTTCATGTGCACCACCGCCGGCGGCATCATGCCCATCACTTCCCTCGACGGCGTCCCCGTCCAGGACGGCAAGGTCGGGCCCCTCACCGCAAAGATCTGGGATCTGTACTGGGACATGCACTACGACGATACCTACAGCTTTGCCATTGACTATGATGGCGTCGAGGGCAAGAAGAATGGCGTCAACGGCGTCAACGGCACCAATGGCGTGGCTCATTGAGTCATGGCTCGAGAGTAGTAATGATAATCTCTTCTGCCTCTCTCTTCTTCTCCTTCTTCGTGGTGGTCGTTGTGTTCTTTGTCTAGTAATGAAATGTCCTATACGGGATTACTCCCGTCCAGGGAGAACGCCGGAAAACAAATTCTTTCTTTTCATCCCTTTTCGTCCCTTTCCTTGTTCTCCTTTACAAGCTAGTTAGTTTGCCACGTATCAGACTCCAGGTAGAGTCTGATGAGAGACTAGGAGAACTGTAGCTTCGTGGGCGCGTGCGCACACACACACACACACACACACACACACACACACACACACACACACACAATGAGCGAGGTATCTAATCCACACAATAAGATTACTGATTTATGCGTAATAGAACGGAATATAATCTCTTAGCTTAGCTTAGCGGTCGTGGGAAAACCAACCAACTAAATCAAGAGTTTTGTTTTACCAAGGGCCGCCGTGTGAACGGTGAAATCATTATACGTGTATGGCCACACCACGCCATGTCCAACCCTGAATATCAATCATAGAGTCTTCCCGCCTTGGCTGGGTCGGTATACTCGACCAGCCCCAGTCCGAGGATATTAGGCGCGACCTCGCCGTAGCGCACTTTACGGGAACCCAGGATCTTGACCAGTTCGTCGGCGGACAGGTTCGAGCCGGACTGCGGTGCTCGGTCGGGCCTCTCCCCGTCGTCGACGTCGAGGACGCTGTAGGGCACTCTGGTGCCGTTTCGCTCGTCGACCACGGTCGAGTAGTGCAGCGCCTTGGCCACCTCGAAGGGCGACAGGCTGATCTTCCTACCGAGTAGCCAGTAGCCGTCGTAGAGCGGTAGGATGGCCAGGATGGCCAACAGCATGAGGCCGACCGCGACGCCGAGGATGGTGCGGTTGGTCCGGTACACCGTGTGGTAGATTTGGTATTGACCCACGGTGGTGACGTTGTGGACGGGCACAGTCGACGTCTGCACGTCCAGCGCCGACGCGTTCGGGAACATGTAGTCGCCCACCTTTTGCGTCGCGACGGCCACGGAGCTGCGGAACATGATGTCCCTCATGTTCGAAAGCAAGGCGCTCATCGGGGACGCGTAGGTGTTGTTCAGTGCCAGATCAATGCTGCCTGTGCCGTGCTCGAAGATCGCGTAGGGCGCGGCAAAGGATCCCGTCACGGCAACATCGGAGCCAAAGTTGGTGACGTCGCTCTTGATAACGATGCTCGAGCCGAAAAGGCTGGAAAATGCCAGCGCGATACCTCCCAGCGTGCTGTGCTGACCCGATGTAGGGTCGTTCTGACTTTCCCAGGTGTGTATCAGTGTCTGGTCATGGTCTGGAATAGGGAGCAAATCCAAAACTTTGTCGACGGCAATATTCTGCTCGTAGGGATCTGTGGGGGAAATTGTCCAGTTTATGGTAGATGTAGGTTGCTGTAGTGTTGCCACTCCCTGCGTGACATTGACCATGTACTCCACCATGGCAGGCAAAAGAGTGCATTGTCGATTTGTAACCGTTTCACCCACATACCCTTTCTTGTCCTGCCAGAGCGTGCTGAGTCCAATTTCCCAATGAATCCCAGTGGTGACATTGACCTGAAAAACCGTGTTGGGCGGTTGATGAACAGTACCATTGGAATCCGCCACTAGAGGGTTCAGCAGCGAACTCCGGGTCGCATTGCAGGTGTACTGGAAGCCCAGTCCGGGGAGTCGCGCGACACATGATACGTTGGAAGTAGAGCCACAGCCTTGCAGGTTGAGTGCGACAGGCGCCTGGACCTTGTAATCTTGAAGGACTTGAATGAAGGGTGGCGTGAAATAAACCACGCCGAAGGTATCGTGGCCAGTTGCCGCCACCACGCCGGAGAATCCAGCAGGAAGAGCACTAGGAAGCTCTGAAGTCATGTTCCGGAGGATCTCTGACAAAACTGTGGTCGAAGAACTGGCTTGTTGTAGCACCACTGTATTCCTCGTCAGCTAGACATACCCGCTAGGGTTGTTGGGACGATAACAGAAGGCCGTGAGAGGGGAACATTACCTTCTAGCCCAGCAAAGATGGTAAATGCTAGACTCCCAACGCATATCCAGCCCCATAGCCTCCAATGGAATGCAACCATGTGTATAGAGTTGCCAACGGCCCAACGGAAATGAAGTCTCTTCAAAGTCTGGCCACGGATGGCGTCCACCCACCAGGAAACCGCGACGGCCTCGGCGAACATGACGGCGAGGGTCTTCGAGAGGAGGAAATTGGCCAGGGCAAGCCAGGCACTGACGCTGACCTGCCAGTAATGGTAACGATGGCCAATATGCATAGTCGTAGCCCCCCACGACTCAACATCTTTGCCATCTGAAACGAGCAGAATGATAATCATGACAGCGAGAATTGCTAACATGATGATCAGGCAGCACAGGCTGAGGAGCGGGATCCGAGCTTTGTTACCCGCTCTCCATGCGCTGACAATTCCATGTCGTTCTCTTTCAATCTTGTTCAAGAGGCCATAGCTGCCAAAGGTAGGTTGCTTTTGATCTTCTTCGTTCTCGAGAGTTCGTTCGGCTAACAGAGGACTCGTTACCAGCTGTCGACAGGAGGGCCGCAACCCAAGATGTTGTACTTGACAAACCCACCTTCACTCCCCAAGAAAGAGGTTTTCGCTTCATTATTGCCAGCAAAGTCAGACGAAAGGGTTTCGGTTTCTTCAAGTTCTAGCTGCGGTGGTTTTGACTGTGTCAACGTCGGACTTCTGGTTTGGCTCTCCATATGACACGGTAGACCAGACGCAGAAAGCTCCCAGAAGTTGACGGCGCCTTTGTGAAGGACAGAATATAGAGTACAATATGAAGCGAATAGGCCCAACACCTAACTTTGATCTGTGAGAGGTAAATAGAGGCTACACATGGCCACTGGCCGGTACGCCAGTCGACCAGGCTCGTCGTAACCATTCGCCATTCGGCGGAACGGTCGCGGGCTGTGGGAAGAAACCCATGCAATGCACTATGATAGACATGGCCAAAATCAGGCGAGATTCCCTGTTGCTGCGAAACATTTGCGCAAGTAGGAGGAGTAGCGGTTGTTGTCCGCCTGAAAGATCGCTTCTTCTGGCCTATAGTTGGTAGATGTGAAAGTGACAACCACGCTTGAAACCACCCCTGGGTTGATTCTGTGCCGCAAATGAGGCTCAGGACTTTGGAGCGGGAAGGCTAGTCGGCTTAGTTTGCCTCGCGTTCTGCACGTCCTCCAGAACGTCGCGAATCAAACATGCAGCCAACCCGGTTGTTGTGCAGGGTCATTTGCAGAGGTCGGGTGAGGCGGACAGCTTGTGAGAGGCGGAGCAATGCAGTCCTAGTAAGGTTCTTTGTCGAGCCACCGAGTAAAGCTTGATATGTTTAAAGGGCATTCGAGATGTATTATTGCGAAAAGTCCTGTTCGCGACACCCTTGTGCTTCGCCCCCACGGGGCCACCAGAGTCGAGCCGCGTGCAGGGTTTCGTACCAGGTAGGCAGAAGCCATTGCCATCGCCAGCTCTATCCATGTTGCCCTGCACCTTGTAGCCAATAACCAATAATGATGGTGCGCGGACGAGGGCCTCGCGTCGAGAGTTGAGATATCCAGCAATTCGGGATGGGTGGTTGTGATGCTTGCGACTTGCTCACAGATCCATCTTTTAGGCAGTAAAGCAAGACTCGTTTTTGACGCATTTGTGTTGCGCCGACATGAGATCTTACATTGAATATAGCTCGCCCAGAGGGCTGGACTGGGGAAGCTGTCTCTAGCAAGTCTTTTGATAGATATCCTGTTTTCGTGCAGTAGAGGAGAGTGGCTGCGCCTCCTCTATTCGCCCATGGAGTTTCTGCCCCCAAACATTCGAGGCTCGCTGTGATATTCGTTGGGATTTAGCGTATTCTCAGCACAACTCCTAAACAGGGGACAAGAGCCCTTAAATGTCACGCTCGTGGCAGCACCATCCAGGGTTGCCTCCCGAATGCTGTCGACGACGGGAAGTTCCTCGAGTAAATTTCGAGATCATCTACACCGTCAAATATATCTCCAACTCGCGAGCAACAAGGATAACACTCGTATCGACCGTAGCTGGCACAAAGATCATGACTGGAGGGAACCAAGAGTGTCCGTATATTCCTCAAAGGACGCCTGTTAGCAAAGGACAGATTGATCTCTTCTTCAGATCACTGTTCCACCCTCTCAGACTTCCTCGTCCCACCATAACTCCGCCCGTACTCGCGCAGGAAGCTCGAGACTTTATTGGTCCTATCCGGCTGGTCTGGGTACCGACCGGACTCGTCCCTCGCGAGACGCTCGCCGCCGGACCTGTTGCGGCCGTGCCTGAAGCTATCGATCATAACATAGACTGGTACAATGATGATGCTGGTCACCAGGGTGAAGACGAGGTAGAACAGCGGGGCGAGGATGCGGTTGATGAGTCGATTGAGGAAATTGGTCGGCGGGAGTGGCTCGAACTTGGGGAGCGACGGTTTCTTAGTGTCGCGGTCTGACGAGGTCGACATCTTGGTGGCTCTTTTGGAGGCATGAAGGAGGGATGGAGAACCAAGATATCCCAAGTTTCGTATTGTTGTCCTCTATATGTTGACGTGTCTTGGTGATGAAATCATCACAGTCCCCTCCCCTCCTGGGTGCCTCCAATATTGTTGAAACCCGAAGGTTCTGAGCGACCAACCTTGAGTTTGACTTTCACTTTCATGTCGCCTCGTGTCCCTCAATTGTCCCATGCGATCAACTTTACATTAAACGATTCTATCAAGCTTGTCTTTGTTAGATTCTGGGACCACTTGGCAGGCATCGTGGTGAAGTCATTCTATCATCGCCATTGACCTTGTCAACACGTGCCTAGTGATGATGTCTCAGCTGCAATTTCATCAAAAGTGCTCCTCTGGAGCAAAAGCAGTTGTTATTCGGGTTTCATCTTCTATTTCCTAAACTCTGTTTGCCACTACGGTTTCCGTCGCATCCTGCTGATCGGGCAGCCCACCCGTTGTGACCTGTTGACCAGCTTCCAGACCTCGGTTGTGCGCAGTCAGCTTCGCAGCCTCCCAGCCTTCGTCGCCTACGTATCCCGCACGCCCTACGCCCAACCAGAATGCTCGATCGCGACTTCTTGCTCCCCAAGCCCATCCACTTCCTCCCTGAATTGGCAGATGATACCACCGAAACCCCAACCACGCGGTGAAAATACCGAGCACGGAGCCCGAAATGATGTCGAACCCTGCGTGACGATTATCGAAGTACCGTGACACTGAGATGAACATGGCAACGGCGATGGGAATGAATGCAATGATGAGCAGATATATGGGGGGCGCTGCTGCTTGGTTGCGAGGAGGAAGAGCCCGCTGGTGGGAAGAGGAGGTAGTTATAGAGCCTTTGCCTAGTTCCTCCTCTTCATCAAATGCCAACATCTGTCGCGCACTGTCGGAACTTGGTGACAAGAAAGGGATTTGAACAGCGAATTTGGCGCAGATGAAAAAGGTGAGATAGAGCATGCCCGCCCAGCTGAAGCTCGAATGCCCCGACGGCCAACTCGCAAAGGCATTCCGCAATTTGCTCTGGTCGGTGGTGCGACAGATATGCCAATCGACCAGGATCGGCGTGGCCGAATCTAACGAGGTCCCCAGTCCACCCACACGGTGTCTGCGGATGGCCTCAGGACTCAAGTCTGGATCGCACACAGCAAGCAAAAACGGCCGGGGTTTCCCAGCCAAATCTTTCAGGCCTTCGGTGATGACGAATGCTCCCGCAAGGGCAACACCAAGACCCATCCATGCTGCGTTCCACTCCCAAAGTTTTCGGCGCCAGAGCAACGCCTTGGGGGTTGATCGATGGGCGGTCGGTCCGGGGATGAAAAGCAAGGAGATGGCGGCAGTGATGACGCCGGGTGCGACGATGGCAACGACGATGAGGACTGGAACTGTGACAGTATCCTCATGGTAAGGATAGGAGATGTCTGGATCTTGAAGCGAGAAGGGGCGTTTGTTTCCGTGGATCTTGGAAAAGGCGCCGCCTACTGCAGCTGTTCCCCTAGAGCAATCGTTAACTTCTTCGTACTAAACATGTGTCTCCCAGCGTCGGTTCTTACAGAATAAGAATCCAGTCAAGTATATAAGAAGCAATAAGCCTCTTAGAAACACGTCCTATGCCTGAAGCGAGGCTAGAGAGGCCATTGACTGTTTTCACCGCAGCGACCATTTCTGGTAATTGAGCACGCGACCCGACCCTAAGTGCGCAAGGGTGAAGTTGGAGGAAGGATGGGCCGCCACAGACGATGGAAAAAGAGAAACAAACAAGTTCTTGTGATTAAGTTCCTGGAAGAAGTTGAGTAGAGGAGATTATTACAACAAGGTCAAAGTCCTTTATCGCAGTAGTAGAATAATCAGGATCCAGATCCATTGAAGATCCAACGAGCGCTTTGAAACAAAGCCCAGCTCAGCCAGTTCAGCCAGCCAGCCAGCCAGCCCAGCGCGAGTGTGTGTGGTGGCAGCCTCAGACAATGCTCAGCTGAGTCGCTCGGGTACGGGTTACGGGTTCTGGATTACGGTCGCATGGCGCGGCTGATCGTGTGAACAAATGCCATAAAGGGCAGCTTGGGAAATGAGAGGGAAAGGGATCGAAAAAGGATGCAGGGGATCTGGACCCCTCTGCCACCACCGGGAATCTGGCAAACGTCATCAAAGAAAACCACAAGTGGTGCCCAAGGTCTCTCGGCGGTGCTTGTGGCCCTCGTTGTGCACACGACCAAGAAGCCCCCCGGTGCCCTTTTCACCCGTATTATCTCTTACAACAGGTCATGGGTAACTCGTATAAGGGGTGTCGCATCCCCTGTGGCTTAGAATAAGAGGTACCCAAACACCAAGCAACAAAATACTCGCCCCCCCTTCACCAAATTGGCCACCTTGAACCTACGCATAACTGCGAGGCTGTGCATCCTCACACCGCTATGCACTCAGGCACTTGTACATACTCGGAAGATTGTTTGGAATGACACACCCCACCAAGCTTCTGATTAGCTGTATTCTTTGCGAGCGGAACCTCCAAGAGGCAAACATGACACGCAGACAACGCAACCCAAGACTGCCCTTCTCGGTCCCTGACCCAACCAACATGACAGCCAAGCCATTGTTCCAATCTTGACATGTCCAAGTCCTGTAACAACGGCTCGGCATGCTCCATGGCCCAGTGTGTTTCGGCATGGGTTCTCATGTGCTCTTTCCATCGAGATCGGCGTAGAAATTCCAGCCAAATGACTCGGACGGATCATTGAACCTCAACTTCTTGTCCAGTCCTTCGATCCTTTTCACGTCCTCAGCCTCGAGCTTGAAGTCGCCCTCGAAATTAGCCTTGATCCGCGACGGCGTCTTGGATTTGGGGATCACGGAATGGCCCTTCGCTATCCCCCAAGCCAAGGCCACTTGCGCTCCGTTCTTGCCGTATTTCCTCCCGATCTCTTTCAACACCGGGTCGTCGATCAGTTTGCCCATGTTCTTGCCTTTGTCGTAGATCTCGTTCTGGTTTCCAAACGGAGAGTATTGAGTAATGTGGATGCCCTTTGACTTATGCCATGTCGAGAAATCCGCCTGTATCAGATAGGGATGCAGTTCCATTTGATGTGCGGCCGGGACGATCGAGGTTTCTCTCAGCAGCCTCTCCATTTCTGCACGGGAGAAGTTGCTCACGCCGATAGCGCGACACTTCCCCTTGGCCACCAGTTTCTCCATAGCTCGGTAGGTTTCGAC